TATCTTATCTTATCTTATCTTATCTTATCTTATCTTATCTTATCTTATCTTATCTTATCTTATCTTATCTTATCTTATCTTATCTTAAAAACCAAAGCAGATTTACGAGTTTTTGTTAAACTATCAAAGGAAATCTTTTGTTAGTTTCTTTACATCAAGATTCATCTTCTAAGTCCTGTAATTATGCTTACGTTTTGCTCCACTCTTGTTTTCTTATGTAGCTTGTGACTTAATGTGCATGTTAGTAAATTACATTTTGATTGGCAGATCTACAGCATTCGATGCACACAGTGCGTTTGGCAGGCAGCCGGGCTCGTTAAGCTGAAACCAGTGATGCAAGCCCTTAATGTATGCTGACTCAAACCGCTGTCGCCTTGTCCAATCTGCTCCCAGGTGAGCAGGGTGTGGAGAGTCCTCGCAGAGGACGGGGTTCTGTGGTACAGGATGTGCCAGAGGGAAGGGCACTATCAGGATGCCAACGTGTCCGACTCCCCCTGCTGGAAGAGCACGCTGCGAGACTGCAGGAACTCTGCCAGGACGGTTCGCTCCAACTGGAAGGTGGGATTGAGTTGTTCAACTGCTGAATTGCTTTGCTGAAAAAAGTTGCAATTGAGCTGTTAAAGTTAAAAACAAAACAACATTAATTAAAAGCTAAAAGTTTTAATATTGGGTTGCTATAGCCATAAGCAGTGGAAGACTGTTCCATTTTAATTTGAGTGCAGATGAAAGACAAATCATAATAAAAGTGATTCTTCTGAAAGACAACTTAATCCAGAAACAAATCTTATGTGATCCAAGCTGTTGCTACATTTTCACTGACCTTTCGCCCCAACATGTTGCCTGTTCAGAACCGAGTGGGCTCCATCAGGCAGCTGCAGTTTGAGCTGGGGAAGGTGTTGTGTGACGTCAGCTCCAGCAGCACCTTTGTTTTGGCGGGGTGAGTTTCAAGGACGTGTGTGTTTTATGTCTGAGCATTACTGTCGAAGCAACGACGACTGCCCACTTATTCCAAGATCATCTGCATTGATTTCTCTGTCACTTTAAATGAAACTTGTTCATTGATTTAGTGATGTATTACAGTTGGGTTGATTAAAAATACAAGGTGTTATGTGTTCTTGTCTAAACTGATGCAAATGTGACTTATAACTCTTAATTGTCAGTATTTGACTGGCAAGTTATAGAATGACGCAATTGAGGATTTTTACTGTTGAACCGGGTATTTTATGTTGATCAATATCATGTATACATTATAAATAAGAAAAGACACTATTTTGATACATACATACATATATATATATATATATGTGTGTGTGTGTGTGTGTGTGTGTGTACATATATAT